GTAACTTTGACAGTTTTAGTGGGGGGCGAGTGTTGACTTTGAAGCATAGTTGCTGAAAACAACTAGCTATGCCTAGAGTTGTTATAATAAAAAACGAAGGGTCATGACATGCGGATGAGGGGCAAAGCAATGCGAAAAAAACGCAGAGATAAATTTCTTTCGTTTCAGGGCACTCGGCGCCAGAAACTAAAGGCAAATTCAGCACGACAAGTCTTTAGTGAGAGGCATAAAAAACATAGGATCAGGACTGCATTCGGACAGAAATCTGCAATAGGTTTCAGCGGACATCGGCTACCTGCGGTCTTGTAATACAAATTTACGAAAAACACCAACTGTTCTTTCATAAGTAAACGACGCTCTCGATTGCAAAGAAGTGCGGAAGCAGCTTTCAAATTACTTTGTTGGTTCCGCTACTCATGCCACCTTGAATATGCCTTCCTGATAATGATATAGGGTAAAGAAAACCCGACCAAGCAGGCATGCTAGGCCTTAGACTTAACAGCAACCTCAGAAATGTGCTAGACATTGAGCATATTATGAGCAAACACTTTTTCTGTCAAGAAAGGCCTTACATACGATGTAGTCATGGCACTGAGAGAACATCTACCGGTCGGCAACAGCAGACCGATTATGATTGGAAACAGTTCTAAACGCAACCAATAAACTGCACCATCCTGGCTTGTGTGTGTGTCGTAGTCCACTAGGAAGATTGGTGTAGCAGACCTTGGCCGCCGTGGGGCGAGTGGGAACGGGACGAAGATGCATCTGCTGTGGGTCCCGCCTGACTTGTCGATTTCAATGGTTACCTCGAATTTTACGTGGAGGTGAAGGTAACATAGCTCATTGCGTCACATTCTCTGCATCTGGAGCTATCGTGAAGGTGGTCAAGTGTCAATATAAGGGCATACAGCTAACGTGCACCTAGTGAACGTCTATATGATCGCAGTCTACAACTCAAGTCGGTGGACTATCGGCTAGTTCAACTTCAGAGTGCATTACAGTAGCCAGCCGACCACAAGAGAAATTAACAATTGGAGCAGGGATTTGCATGAAACATGGGAAACGGCGCATCAGACACGAAAACAGTTACGTGGGTAAAAAAATTAAGAAAAATGCACGTGAACTGTGGTACACAATGTAAGTTTTGCTAGACATTAAAATGAGTGCAAGGAGGATCTCCCACGTGACTGTACTGTTAGTGACTGAGAAAGAAGAGCTCGCCAAATGCAACTTCAAAAGCTTTTCTGGGCTATAAGTTGTTAGTTAAAAGAACACTGGAAGCGGTCCTACCAGGTAAACTTGGGAAGCTTTTTGAAAACACCTAGCATCCTGAGTGCGCCTAGAAACTAGGCTTCGGAGAGGGATACTAAAAACAACAGTATACAAATGTGATGGTGTTCTCACTCGCTTTGGTGCTAGCACTCAGTTGTACGTTTGGGCATTTTTGAAAGCTTTTTACCGGTTGTTAGAGGGAAAACTGGAATAATATTTACGTTCAGTTGAGGCAAAAAGGAAAGGAGACAAAGCAAACGTCTGGCTTGCGCAACGCACAAAAAAATTTTAGACTTAATAGGTCAATAACAGAAACAAAGGCCATTAACAGGAGGCCAGGGTACGGACAAAGTGTCAGAAGTGAATTGTAAAACAGCCCCAACTCAAGGACAAAGTAATACTTGGCCTTGTAGCAGTAAGAAAGACGTTACTAAGGCTGGAGATTCATCTCTGTGACTACCCAAAAAGGCATGCCTACAGTTTTTGTAAAGCAGACATTTGGCTAGTTAGGTTAGGGGGTTATACAGGGGTATTATACTCAGCTTTTTAGGAGGATAAGGGGGATTTGGAGAAAGCCGTCATACACTTTACGTGAAAGTGGTCGTAGGCTGGCGTTGGCGCCTAATTGCTGAAAAAATATTAGTACAGTCGGTGCAGCCCACTGTCCATTGTCTGCACCACTGATGACCTCCTCAGTTTTGCCCAAGTGCTGACCATAGCGAGAGTCACCGAGACCCAAGTGTTATTTTTTCGGTAGAAGAATACGCATAGCTTCACTACCACAACCAAGGAGAAGCAGGATATACTGATAAATTACTATATCCTGTATCTGAGATGAAAGAGCATCACTGGTTGCAGGGTCTGGAATTAATTGTGGGCTTGTGAGAGCGTGTCGGTGATAAAAAAAAATATATACAAACCGACTGGCTAGCACCGGTGATTAGTTGAGCTTAGCATTAGTTGGACGAAGCATTCGTCCGACGCACTGACTCGATGAATTCCGTCGTACCGTGACGTAGATGTCAAATGTATGCAGGAGGCTGAGATAGGACCAAGGCTGTATTTTTACTAATATATCGGAATAATATGATATGTTATCCCCACTCCCTTCAAGAAAATGGTGGAAAGCTCATTACTGCAACAATCTCCATAGGCGGACAAAGAGGAATCGAGAAAGTAGCCAGCTTGCTCAAAAGTGTATTTTCCGAAATCAAAAGGTGCCTAACAAATGTGGATGTCTACTGCCGCAAATTTATTAAAAAGAATGAATGAGGCAATCGTTTGTTATAGGCAAAGCCGCACCCGGATATACTACTTCGTACTTCACAAATATCTGTTGGGAGTGGCCCAGGGTTACCTATCGACAGAAGACGTCAAAGACAGGCGGTAATAAAATAAGCTTTAAGCGATCACATCGAACGTCAAATTTATAATAGCCTTTTAACCTACTACGAACCATTCTGGGAATTAATGTATAGATAAGCAGATGGAGAGGAACATGGAGCCCAATATCAAACAAGAACTATGAAGCAAGATACGTCAAGGGATTGAGTAAGAAAATGTAAAACTAAAGAATGCATCACAATACGATGGGTTTGATTGAGTGACAAAAATATTGTTTGAAAGACATACGTCTGCTCCCTTGATCTCAGAATGATGAATGAAGCGAAGATTAGAGGTTCCCATTTCCGGACACATTGTCATAATGTGTTGTCTCTCGCGAATTCGAACACCTGGTAGCGTCATAGATGACTTAACGACATCTCTATCGGCAGCTTCATCCGCGCATAGCATTATGCTGGGAGGAAGGGTCCGTGACTTGCAGCTGTCACTGCATCTTCGATCATTTGTCTCAGGTTGGTCAAGGGCCGAGGTCACGTGTTCATCAATGAGGGACAGGGACGAAGTAGGTTCTGAGGACTTCCGTGTGTCAGAGTCAGCAGACATGTTTAGAGAGTAGCGCATTTGACTGTTTTTTTCATCTAGTTTTAGTGTTTGTGGTGGAG